CCTAGTCACTACATCTCCAGAACTTTCTCATCTTATAACCAGAAGTTTACAACACCCTTTGACCAGCATTGCCCTGTTCCCCACCCCTCTGGCTCTGAGCGCCACCTTTCCACTTGTTGTTACTATGAGTTTGACTTTCTTAGATTCCACACGTGAGGGCAAGCAGTTTTTGCAGACACAATTGTTTTTAAAAGAATAATACCACAAAGCCCTTTATTATTCATTCTTTGTATAATTCATTGATATCTGTTGTGAATATATTCCAAACTGGAGAGTCACAGATGTTAATGAACTTTCTCACTGGGTCACTTGTCTCTTAATCCCACGGTTTTCACTACCTTGTGCTGTTTGCACTTTGCTTAAATGATTAAAAAAAAGCATGATGAGCCAATTTGAATTAAGTTCAAGGATAAATGCTATTTAGGGATCAGTTCAAACCCTCTGTGCTTTGTGAGTGTGATCTGAGGGCCAGCTAACCCCTGCCTCTTGGGGTGGCGCCCAGAAACTGAGTCCCTGATGGAGTGATATTAAAAAACGATATTCAAATGATGGCTAGCACTGTTTACAATAGCCAATACAAAGAAGCAAACTAAATGTCCATCAGCGGAGGAACAGATGAAGAAGATGTGGTACGTCTATACAAGGGAATATCACTCAGCCATCAAAAAGAATGTGAAGTAATGCCATTTGTAGCAACATGGATGGACCTAGAGATCTGTCATCCTGAGCGAAGTGAGTCAGACAGAGGAGGCGGCATATCATATACTATCCGGGACGGGTCGGGGGGGATAGTTAGGGAGTCTGGGGTTGACCTGTTGTTATTGTTTAGTCACCCAGTTGTGTCCGACTCTTTTGGGACCCCATGGACGGCGGCCCGCCCAGCTCCTCTGTCCATGGGATTTTCCAGACAACAATATGGCAGTGGGTTGCCATTCCCTTCTCCAGGAAATCTTCCTGTCCCAGGGACTGAACCCATGACTCCTGCATTGCAGACAGATTCTTTACCACTGAGCTACTTGGGAAGACTACTGCTATATTTAAAACGGATAAGCAACAGGTCTTACTGCATATAGCACAGGGAACTCTGCTCAATGTTATGTGCCAGCCTGGATGGGAGGGCAGTGTGGGGGAGAATGGATACATGTACATGTGTGGGTGAGTCCCTCCACGGTTCACCTGAAACTGTCACAACATTGTTAATTGGCTATAGTCCAGTAGGAAATAAAAAGTTTAAAAAATGATGGCTAATGGAGCAAAAAGAAATTAATTGCTTCATTATTTAAAAATGGTGGGAAAATGTTAGGTTAACATTGCATTTATAAAATACTGTCTTTTTCTAATACTGTTTTATTTTTTTATTAATTTTTATTGGTGTACAGTTGCTTTGCAATGTTGTATTTGTTTCTGTTGTATAGCAAAGTGAATCAGCCATATACATTTATCCCCTCTTTTTTAGTATCTTATTTTTATTTATGGGAAGCTGCTATATAAGACAGGGGACCCAGTCTGGTGCTCTGTGGCAACTTAGAGGGATGGAATGGGGGTAGGGGGTGGGAGAGAGGCTCAGGAGGAAAGAGATGTAATTATGACCAACTCAAGCGATCAGACGGCAGAAATCAACACAACATCATAAAGCAATTATCCTCCAAATAAATAAATAAATACAAATGCCTTTTAAAGTTATGCTGTAGGTTTATTTTAACATTTTGCTTCACACAGTTCTAATTTGCCATACAAAACCTGCACCCATATACATAACCACTTGCCATTTAAAAACCCACAAAAACACAGAGTTGTTCTGCTCCATGTGGATTCTACTTGAGATGCTCAAGTCACAGTCTTGGGAGTGGTCCTCAGGAGAAACTGCATGCCAGGAAGTAAGTCAGCAAGACTCCTAAGGCATCTCTTCCATCGGGGAGTGTACAGACTTGGGCGAGCTTGTTCCCAACGAGAGTTAAAAGGCACAGAAAGTTGTTGAGCGACCAAAGAATGCATTTTGCCAAAATATTTGATATATCCTTGGCTTTGTCTGCCAAGTATATAAGAGACACAGATGTGGTGTGAAGCAGGTCAACACAAATGGGACTAAGAGAGACCTACTAAATGCAGCATCCCTATGGACTGAGAAAAATGTGTGTACACAGAAATACATATATATGCATATGTGCATGTGTGTCCCTTCAACTATGAGAACTGTGTCTGAAAGTGTGCCTCAAATGTTATCAGGTCATAAACCATCACAGAAGGCAAACAGTGACCCTCCAGGAGCTGGAGAAGGGAAATTAGGTTCTGGTTCATTCCCACAGCCTTGGGTGAATATGGTGCTGTGTAAAAGTTGGGATAGTAACAGGGTTTTTCTAGAGCACACAGGAATGAAGTGGGGAGACAAGGCATAGCAGGTTTACGAGTTAAGTATGAGGTTGACGAGCAATCAGTAATTTGGTAGAGATGTCACTTATAAGAAGAGGGATATGGAGGATCTACTTACAGAAAAAGTCCTTAGGGCTAGAGACACATGGTTTAGCCACTGAGCTGTATCTGACTCCTTCGACCCTGTGGATTGTAGCATTCCAGGCTCCCCTGTTCATGGGATTTTCCAGGCAAGAATACAGGAGTGCATTGCCATTTCCTCCTCCAGGGGATCGTCCCAACCCAGGGATCAAACCAGTGTCTCCTGCATCGCAGGCGGCTTCTTTGCCAGCTGAGCCACCAGGGAAGGCCCATGAGGCATGGTCAGTGGCAAAGATGTAAACTCAGAACTACAGGGAGAGCGGAGGCACGGATGAAACATCACGGTAATGAAGATACAAAGGTGGAGTGAGGAGAAAATAGCACGTCAGCCCCCAGCCGCCTCCAGGGGCCACAGGGCGTTCTGCAGCAGGTGTGACAACCTGGGGACCAGCCTCCTCTTTGGTCTCCGCCAGCTTTGACCTTAAGCACTCAAATCAGTCTTCTTGGGGGGGAAGAGCTCACAAATGGATTTTTACTCTATCCATTTCATCACTGATAAGAGATGTTAAGGACAAAATTTTCCTGACACAGGGAGCCACCTCATGGGGGTATCCTGGTAAATAAAGAAGGCACATTAAAGGATCCAGAGCTCAGCAAGCTGGCCCAACAATAAGGCGGAGTGGTGGGAAGAAAAACAGCCGGGTTACCCAGAGGATTAGCAGGGACCTACTTCTGAAGACGTTCTGCAGGTAGGCAGGAGGCAAGACTGAACCTTGACCAGAACTGGTCCCTAGCATCTATTCTCATTTTAGCCAAGACCGCATCCCACGAGAAAGCGGAGAGCGGGCTGGTGAAGAAGCCCTGCCCTGATGGCAGCAGCCGTAGCTGTAAGGACTCCCGACGGGAACCGGACTGGCAGTCGAGGGCCAGGCAGAAGGGAATCTATGTTCTAGTGATCTCTGACACGTGACTCACTGTGTTAGACTGTCATTTCTGTCATCTTCTTTAGTTCTCACCACACTTTGATGAGGGTAAATTTATAATCCTTATTTAAGTGACGAAGAAGCGGAAGTTCAGAGAGAGTAGGTATTTCATTCTAAAGCATAGAGTGATGCCTAAATATGGATCCAGAAACGTCTGACTCCAAAATGTATGCTGCTTTCAACACACCTGCTGGGTTCCCTGAAGGGTTTCCAAATGATTATTAATTCTCCACTCGATGCATCTTATGTTTTGACAAGAACAACAAAGAACTAGAAATTATCTGATGTTTAAAACTTAAGCAACACATTTTGAAATAACAATTAAATCAGAAAATGTTTTTAAATTATGAGGAAAAGAGACATAGCAAAAATTTTAAGAGCTTCAGCAAAGACAGCACTCAGAAGAAAAATGATAGTAGTAAAATGAACATATAAGAAAAGAAAATGTACTACAAACTCAGTGATCTAAACTTCCATCTTAAGAAGCTGAATAAGGAAATGCAAAGAAATTAGAATCTCTCTATCTCTAATAATAGAAAAGTAAAACCTAAATAAGTAGAATGAGAAAATCAACAAGGTTAATTGTTGGTTCTTTAACAGTAGTAAAAATGAGCATTCCCAAAGCAAGACTAATCAAGTAAAATTTAAGTGAGATGCAAACTGTCAGCGTCAAGAACAAATAAATACATTTTAACTGACTCTTACACAAGTAAGACACCAAGATGAGGGAAAGCAAGGAAGAGGATGAAAAAATGTACCTGTTTTGAAGCCATCCAGAAAAATCACGTTTCAGACTCTACTGCATTCAATTTAATCCAACATACATTCATTAGAAGAGAGCATAAGGGCTATCAATCTAGTGTTATCTGCCTAGAAAGGGCAAGCATGTGAAGTTTTGAAACAAAGTCGAGTTCAAATTCATTCTCTACCTTGACCTAAATGTATGACTTTTGGGAAATTATATAAACTTTCTGAACTTATTCTTCTCATTTAAGAAATGGAGGATAGTAATATCAACCTCACAGGGCTATTCGAAGGATTAGAGATAAAACCCCAAGCACAGGACTAATTTACATCTTACAGAATGTAACATGACCCATAACCATGGCATCTATACTTTATCTGTAGGAAAGATACAAAAATATATCCTGAGATAAGGTCATCCATTTTGATATGTGATCTTTGCTGAAAAGCCTGGGCATTTATTTTTCTTGACCGGCCAATAGGTTTGGAGAGGTCACTCTTCAACAGAAAGGATGTTACCAACATATAAGCAATATAAAAGAATCATATATTAAAAAAAATAAAAAACTATATAAAATTTCCACTCTAACTTTATACAATAATTAATTTTTCTTGACTATTAGATCAAGATAAAAACTATGTCAATAGCATAAGCTATTTTAAGATTCTGGAGGAAAAGGCTTCCATCTCTGGTGTTAATTTTACGACGAAAGTTTCCCCCCAAAGTCCCAGCTTTCCACCAGCGTGTCTCCTGAATCGCGTGTGTTGATCTATACTGCCAGGGCTCAACCATGCTGATTGACTCATCTGCAAAATGAATCCTCAGAAACTTCCAAGAAACTGGTCACGGCTATGATGAGAAAGAAAAAAAGGTCAAGAGGCAGTATGATACATCTTGGTCAACTCGCCAATGAAACAAGGCCCTTCATTAACAACAAAAGTATGCACGGGCCACTTAGCATCCACACAAGTTCCTTCTGCTGCAGTGACAATACTGAGAATGGTCAAGTCCGAGAGTGAATGACTGAAACTACAGCCCAATTTAGCTTCATTTCATGTGCTACGCCATAGAAATAGATAACTGATGTTTGATGATAATGTGTGGAGATGGGAACGAATGTCGGGCTCACACGTGTCACAGACAGGTGCTGTGATCCTCAGCTGATGGTCAAGAAACAGCAGAAGCAGCAACCAAAGAGGACAGGCCCCATAGTTTCCATTGAAGACTGGTTTTCTCTTCCTCAAGAACTTCCTGAGGACGTGTTGGGTCAAAGCATCAGGCAGCAAGAGGTCATAGACTCTCTAGAAGAGGGCTGGTTGCCGTCAGCGAGAGGACCCTGATTCTTTGCACAGAGTACCTCCTATAGTATAGGCAGGTGAATGAGTCTCTTTCTTAAAAATCAAATCACAAAGCAACGGAGTTCAGTGGGAGTGGCTGGCACTTGTGGAGGGGGTTGTCTAGTGGGGGAAAGTGGTTCCTTAAACTGCAGTCAAATCTAATTTTGTTAAATGTGAGTCAAGAAAGAGAGAGAGCCTTAGAAGTAGCTAGCAGCATCCCTGGGCTTCTAGGAGGGGCCATCTCAGGCTCATCTCTAGCCCTCTGTCGTGACCAGCTGGGCACATTGGCTCTAAGTAGAGTCATCCATCCTCACCAACACTGTGGTCTGGGATCCCCTACATGAACACGTGTGTGTGTGTGTGTGTGTGTGTGTGTGTGCATGCTCAGTCGTGTCTGACTCTTTGAGACCCCGTGTCTTACAGCCCGCCAGACTCCTCTGTCCAATCTTGTCTGGAATATTCCAGACAAGGATACTGGAGTGGGTTGCCATTTCCTCCCCCAGGGCATCTTCCCGACCCTCATCTCTTTGTCTCTTGCACTGGTAAATGGGTTCTTTATCACTAGCGCCACCCGGAAGACCCACATGAATACATTCTAGGTGGGAAAAGTATCCTCATCCTCAAGGAAATAATGCTGTGGGAGAGGAGTCTACAGTCGGCATCTATAGCCACGACATTCACTCTGAGCTCCCCTGGAGAGAAGCAAGTTTCTTGCAAAGTGGTCGAACTGTCAGATTCAACAGTTCCGTACAACAGGGAACTTTAGATACAACAGGGGACCCTGAGGGTCTGGTTACGCTGAATATATCATGACCTCATGGTTGGAGCAAACCAGAAGTGATTTCAAATATGGTCCCCAAGTGTAAGGTCACATGAACTGATGCTTGAGTGACAGGTGCTGGCTTCCTAGGTAGGCCACTCCACAAGTCCAGGTGGGAAGGTATACTTAATTATTTTTGCAAGGTGAAGGATGAGTGAGCCCACCCAGAGCCTACAGCTTGGGCCATTCATTAAAAAAAAAAAAAAAAGTGAATGGTTAAGGTAAGGGAAGAGATAAAAGAGTTTTGTGAATGATTCACTTACATTCCTTAATCTTGTCCTGGGTTGTTGTATTCCATTCTCTTACTGCAAAATACCTTTGAGTAACTTAGACTGGTCAGATGTCTGCTATGTCTCCTTTATAGTTGTTCCTTTTTTTCTGTTTTCCCACCTAACTGCTATAGAAAGCTTGTGTTATTTTCTGGCAGTTTCCAGAGAGAAGCCAGCCAGCTGATGGGGAATTCAGGTCATCAGAGAGACAAAGGCTTCAGTGAATGTTCCTTGAATCTGTCCTCCTGCCTTTCTGACATGGTTAGTGGGAAAGGGTGGTGACAGGGAAATGATGGGAAGCATTTCAGCTTCGACATTCTTTGAGAAAGTGTTTCTCTCTGCATCTGTTCTCTGGGAACTATCTGTCCCGTATCTATCTGTCACATATGGGAAAATTTCCAAAGATGCTTTTAGCACAGATCTCTGCCTTTAATTAAATACTGACCACACATCTTAAAAATAGTGAGGGGTCTCGGTTATGATAACAGAGTCACAGGTGATTTTAAAATATATATACTTGTGGCTTCCCTTGGTGGTACAGTGGGTAAGAATCCACCTGCCAATGCAGGGAACATGGGTTCGATCCCGGGTCTGGGAAGATCCCACCTGCTGTGGAGCAAACAAGCCCGCGTGCCACCAACTACTGAGCCCCACACGCCCTAGAGCCTGAGAGCCACGACAAGAGAAGCCACTGCAATGTGAAGCCTGCACACCACAGCTCGAGAAAAGCCCACGTGGCAACAAAGACCAGCACGGTCAAAAATAAGCAAATAACTAAAACTTTTGAAAATAAGAAAAAAAACAAAAAACATATGCCTATCTGTAATTTAAACTTTCCTCCAATAAATAGGTGTTATGGGTAAACAGTTTTAAGATTTTACATTTTTTAATTAGAAAATCATAAAGCTTGCTCTTTATGATATGAGACTATGACTGCAGCTGCTGCTCTACCCAAGGGGGCTGACCCTCAAGGGTCAGGGAGGCCAAGCTAGGAAGTCTTAGAAATCATCCAGTCCATTCCAATGTTACAGATGATGGAGTGAAGCCCAGAAAGGATGGTGGGCTTTAAGGAGAATAAACGTGGAGGCTTGAAGTCAGGCCTCCTGTCTGTTGTGAGTGTCTGCGTAAAGCCCCGCTGAGCTTATCTGAGTGTTGGTATCTAGAGGAGCTAGGCACTCAGGGGAGCTGACCTGGGTGTGAGCTGAGCTATTTGGGTCTGTGTGTAAGCCACCAAGTGTTATGCAACTACAACTGAGACCCAACCAAAGAAACCCCACCTGCAAGATATGCGAAGTCACAAGGCTTTTATAAATCCTTTGCTTTTGGCAAAATGTGCTTCTACACCCCTGAAAGTCAGGAGCTCTGGGTCAGGCCTCTCACATGGGAAAGCAGGAAAGATGCCCTCAAACCTGGGTCACATTTAGAGGCAAATCACTGCTAGAGTCGCGTGGGGAAGGACAAGCAACAGGGCAGGGGAGTGGACATCAGAAGGCCACTGGCTGGAAACGGCTTCCGGGCTAAGCTGGGAGAAGGGTAGAGTTTGCTGAAGGTCACCACCCATACTGCCGTCACGGCCCACGGGAAGAGCATCTGCACGTGGCGGGAAGAGCGCCAGTTACCTGAGATTATCCCTGCAGATAAATCTGACACTCCTTTGATTTAGGATGGACTCCAGTTCCTTTATAGAGGGGCCAGAGCATGAGTCACTGGAGGAGAAACGAAGAAAGTGTTAAAATAACAAGAGCTCACACGCGTTTCCTTGGAGTTGCTTGGTGTCTTCCAGGAGGCGGGCCCGGGGCAGGGCCCTCGGATGAAGACGTGACATGAAGGGAGCTTCAGAGAGCTCACTGGTCCACAGCAGAGTCAAAGGTGTGAACTAGGTAGAGACCCACCACGGAGACACAATTAAGAGACTGTGGAGTGAGTGAAAGTTGCTCAGTCGTGTCTGACTCTTTGCAACCCTGTGGACTGTACAGTCCATGGAATTCTCCAGGCCAGAATACTGGAGTGGGTAGCCTGTCCCTTCTCCAGCGGATATTCCTGACCCAGGAATTGAACCAGGGCCTCCTGCTGAGCAGACTCTTTACCAACTGAGCTATGTTGGGATGGGGTAAAGGTAGAGTAAGGCTCCATTCATTTCCTGAGCCAGTCTTTTCTCAGCGCATTCATCCCTGTGACTGTGGAGTCTTTCTTGGACTGATTCCTGAAATAAGCCTGAGAACATACAGGAGTACAAAGTAGTAACACATACCTGGGAGGTTTTCCAGGGTCATGTACCAGCCAAGCCTTTAGTGTAACCGTTGGACTCAAGTTAGGGGCTTCCACTCGTCCAAATATGCTAAGATAGAAGAGACACAGAACATTGTTAACCTCAAACTGAATTGTTGGAGCACCCACAGCCCCTGTGAAAAGTCATCGGGCAGGTGTCACTGGTTAGAACCTACCGTTTGGAAGTGACCCATGATTTGCATCAGAATCAGCCACCTTTACTTATTCAGCATGACCCCAAATAAGGAAGATTCTCAGAATAAGGGTCTTCATCTGTACACTGATGCTGATTCTTTACACACTTGCTATTCCAAGAAGATACAATTATCTTACACTCGCTTAGACCAAGGTAAGGAGCTCATTAGAATCACAGAATCTCTGCCCAACACCACCTGCTGAATCTGAGCCAGCAGCCCAACAATTCCTAGGTGATCCCCACGCACAGTGAGTTTGAGAAGCATGTCGTTGAAAGACCCCTATGTCCTGTTCTGACCCCAGCCCTAAGCTCTCCCCATTAGGCACCACCACTCCTGTTACAAGTACTTGGGCCCCTAATACCGGATTACAAAATTCTGGAATGTTCACACTTGCACCCAAAAGCCTGCGAGGTTGGGGTCAGAAGACAAGAGGACAAAGGCTTCCTGGAGGACTCAAACATTAACAGAGGCAAGGGGGGCTTCTCCGGTGGCCCAGTGGTTAAGAATCAGCTTGCAGTGCAGGGAATGTGGGTTCAAACCTTGGCTGGGGAACTAAGATCCCGCATACCATGCGGGCAACTGCAACTAAGACAGGATGTAGCCAAATAAACATTTTTAAGAAAAGAAAGAGGAAAGCAGGAAAATTCATTTGAGGGGCACTTGGAGTCCCCGGTGGTGGCGCTTTAGTCACTCAGTCATGTCCAACTCTTGCGACCCCATGGACTGTAGCCTACCAGGCTCCTCTGCCCACGGAGAGGAATATACTGGAGTGGGTTGCCATTTCCTTCTCCAGGGGATCTTCCCAACTCAGGGATCAAACTCACATCTCCTGCATTGGCAGGCAGATTCTTTACTGCTCCACCACTGCTCAGAAGCCCCTGGGGCACATTAATATATGTTCCCTCATCTCAATCAGCCTTATCCAGGGAAAGGTTGGAGAAGAAAGACCAAGGTAAGCAATGTGGTAGAACCTGTAAGTGAAGAAGGGGGTCAGCGAAGGAAAGCCGGGGTGAGACCAGGGTCAGTGGTGTGGGCGAAACGAGATACTCAACCAGCACTTTCTCTGTGTGGCACGTGGCTCAGCATTTTTCATACACCCTCCCATCCATCTTCACATCACCAGCACCTCCTCAGGTACACAGAGACTAGTGGGGCCCTGCTAAGGTCACCCAGGTAAGATGTCATGACCTCTGGAGTCCCCGCTTTTAACCGTGACAATAAACTGCTGACACTGCCTGCAAAAGATGGAATGCAGGTCAAAGGCATGGCAGAGCTCCCGCTGTTCTCAGCAGCAGATTCACTGGGATCCATACTGGCCAGGGAGGAGAGAGGAGTCTCGGGCAGATGTTCGTGATGAGCAGACGAGACAGGCAGAAGGAAGGAGGGGACAGGCCCTGTGGGGAAACAGGGTGAGCAAAGGCAAATGGGCAGGATGGAGTGTTATGAGAGAGAGAGCGGGCACGCTCAGGCAGCCGGGTGTGCCCAACTCTTTCTGGCCCCGTGGACTGCAGCCCGCCAGACTCCTCTGTCCATGGGCTTCTCCAGGCAAGAATACTGGAGTGGGTGGCCATGCCCTCTTCCAGGGGATCTTCCCGCCCCAGGGACTGAACCTAGGCCTCCTGTGTCTCCTGCATTGGCGGGCAGATTCCTCACCACTGATCCACCTGGGAAGCCCTACAGGAGAGCGAGCAGGCCTCAACAAGCTAAGAGGAAGAGTCGGACCCTGAGCAAGGACCTCGGGAGAATTTTAAACCGGAGAAACTGGACACAAGTGTTGAGTTAGACAAAAATCTCACCATAGAATACATTTTACCTTTTTCAGCCCACATCTTCAGTCCTTAAGTTCGACGTGAAAAGCATATTCTTCTAAAGGCAAAAGAGCCAGGAGGAGACTGTGTTAACCCTAACCCACAGGAGGCAAAGAAATAAGTACCTCATTTTATCAAAGGCGTTCTCGATGGATCCATTGAGCACCACCTGGACTGTACCACAGACATTTTCTGCAAACTTAAAAACAGAAACACCATTTCTCAGCATGCAAACTTCACTGCCAGTCCCCAGCAGGTCCATCCCCACAGCTCTTAACATCAGCTGGTGAAAGAGGAACCGCCCGTAGGGTTCTACCTCAGACAGCGAGGTCTAAGGAATGTTTACCCCAAATTACTGGAGGGCATATGCTTCCCTCCAGAGTTCTGGAAGCCATTGTGCCAATCTGTGTCTGAACAATGAAGTTCAGCTTCATCGCTGCTAAGCTGGCGGTTCAGAAGGCAGAAGTCGGGATGAGTAAGAACAGCATCATTGCCGGAGAAGGACGGTAACATTGCTTTCCTAAAACCATGCACTGTAGACGCCACACATCTCATTCAGTGGGAGCAGACCCTTCAGCCGTAAGAAACGAAGAAAGACAAAAGAAAATGCCAAGGGAAAAGAAACTGTGACAGATGGTGGCCCTGAAGCCTGCACCAGCATAATGAGGAGCGGAGAATGAACGAATGAGTGGATATTTTTGAGCATGGGGTTTTAGTTCTTCATGCAACAAAGATTTAGCTGGAATCTTCACTAGACACTGGGGAAAATAAGATGAACAAAAATATGTAAGCTAGGGAGGGGAGAATGGATACCTGTATATGTATGGCTGAGTCCCTTCACTATTCACCTGAAACTCTCACAACATTGTTGTTAATTGGCTAAATGCTAATACAAAATAAAAAAACTATGCAATCTACTATTTCTTCCAGGAGGCCCACCCAGACCCCTGGGACTATCTCTGCATCCACTTCTCACATTATCCAGCTCTAGGGCATTGTGATGATGAGTTTAACATGGGTTTAGCCCCTGGGACTGAGAGTTGTGGGCCTGGCCGTCCCACCCACCTCCACAGCGCTGGAGCCTTGCAGCCAGGGCACTGTGAGTGGGCGCCCGAGGAAAGTCCATGGACTGAGAAGAGGGAAGGACAGCCAGATGTCCAAACACCTGTGATGGAGAGCAGGAAGAACCAGCAAAGGCGGAACAGAGGAGGACAAAAACCAAGTCCTAAAGCATGAATAGGATTTCGCCTGGTAGGGGTTGAGGCAAGTGCACACAGAAAGGCCAGGACAGTGCTACTGTGGTGATCCAGGGGTTAATGATCTGCCTGCCAATGCAGGGGACACAGGTTCGATCCCTGGTCTGGGAAGATCCCACATGCTGCAGAACAATGAAACCCATGCACCACAACGTCGGAAGCTTGTGCGGCCAGAGTCTGTGCTCCCCAACAAGAGAAGCCACACCAGTGGGAAGTCCTTGCTCTGCAAATAGAGAAAGCCCGGGCACAGCAATGAAGACCCAGTGCAGGCAAAAATAAATAAATAAATAAAAGTATTTTAAAAGTAAGCACAAAAGCAGCTTAGAATGAGGCCAGAAATACATAGATAGAGGGGAAGATGGTATTTCCCAGGCTAAATCCTGGATCTGGAGTCAGACACCTTGGGATAAACACCCACATTTGCCACTTGCTGCATCTCTTTAGTGGAATGCTGATTTACCTGCACCTCCGACGGGTATGACACTCCAGGTACCTGCTTCACAGAGTTCTTGCGAGGATGCCTGATTTTAATCCACGTAAAACTCTGAGGACTACCCCGAGCACACAGTAAATGGTCTGGCAAGTGTAGATTATTAAGACTGTTCCAGGATTCCAAGATTGGTCAATACCTGGATCAGAGGATCCAACCAAGCCAGAGGTGCCTGGCAGCCAAAGCTCCAAAAAAAGGCAGAAGCAGGGAATCTTCATCCAGAGCCCGAGACCTTCCATGAATGGCCACAGATTACATGTGAAAATCTTTTGGCACATGCTTACGAACATTTTTCTCAGGAAAGAACCCTTTGTTTCTAAAAGGATCTGGGATGCTCCCTTCTTCAAGTGAATTAAAACCAACCACTGACAGGATGACCTCCTAAGCTCTTTGGCCTCCAAATTCTAGAATTTCATTTGTGGTACTTACCCTTTTGCTTGTTTTTCTTCATAAAGTGAATTATTTTATTTTAATATTTTTAATGGAAGGATAACTGCTTTACAGTGTTCGGTAGGTTTCATACCATACAACAATATGCCAGTGTCAGTGAAGTTGTTCGGTCGTGTCCAACTCTTTGCGATCCCAGAGACTATAGCCTGCCAGGCTCCTCTATCCATAGAATTTTCCAGGCAAGACTACTAGAGTGGGTTGCCATTTCCTTCTCCCGGGGATCTTCCCAGCCCGGGGATTGAACCCAGGTCTCCCGCATTGCAGGCAGACGCTTTACCATCTGAGCCACCAGGGAAGCCCAAACAACATGAACCAGCCGTAAATATACACATATCCCCTCCCCCTAGAGACTCCTTCCCATCCCGCCCCATACCACCCTGGTTCTTACCCTTTCGGACAGCGCTTCCCAGAATACAGAAAAATAGTTGGTTCTGCAGTCTTTCTTCCAGTCTGGGCAAGACTGATAGTTCAAATCTAAAAGACATGGTTTGCAGAAAAGTACTTAAAGTGGGCAAGAAAAGGCGTAATTCATCTCTGTTCTCTGTAGGCTTTTGGATCTCAGTGGAGTCACTTTCCGCAGCATCACTGCCAAGACAGAGGATGGAGAATGGACGCCTCTCGGCCCAATTTAACTAAGTGTCCCCTGAACCCCTTCCAAGTCCTCAGCTTACCCCCCATGCCCCAGACAGGAATACAGTGACCAGCTTTGAGCCATCATTCTGGAAAACTTCAGCAAAGGCTCATCTGACAGAGACAAGCCCCCACTAGTATTTCCAGTTCCGGGAAGAATTTGACATCATTTCCTCCCTCACCACTTTCATCCCCACACCCTTAGACTCAGATACCCTCAGAGTCTTCCTACACACACCGCATCCAGACAGGCCCAGCTGTCAGCGGGGAACCACAGACCTAAGGCAGGAACACGCACTTTCTGCACTACTTCTACCAAGGATACCTGCCTTAGCACACCAACCGCTTTTCACTGAGGTATAGCAGAGTATGAGCTGGTTAGACAGCATGACTGACTCGATGGACATGAATTTGAGCCATCTCCGGGAGACAGTGCAGGACAGGGAAGCCTGGGATGCTGCAGTATATTGGGTCTCCAAGAGCTGGACATGACTTAGCAACTGAACAGCTGCAACAACAAATAACTGACAAATAAAACTGTAAAATACCTAAAGGGTACAATGTAATGATTTGATATGCATACATATTGTGGAAAGATTCTCCCCCACTAGGTCAATTAGTGCATCCATCACCTCATATTCTTGTGTTTTTTTTTTTTTATGAGAACTTTGAAGTCCTTATGGTGAAAGCTGAGTGCAGAAGAATTGATGCTTTTGAACTGTGGTGTTGGAGAAGACTCTTTGAGAGTCCCTTGGACTGCAAGGAGATCCAACCAGTCCATCCTAAAGGAGATCGATCAGTCCTGGGTGTTCATTGGAAGGACTGATGTTGAAGCTGAAACTCAAATACTTTGGCCAGCTGATGCGAAGAGCTGAGTCATTTGAAAAGACCCTGGGAAAGACTGAAGGAAGGCAGGAGGAGAAGGGGATCCATGTGGAGAGAGCAGTGCAGAGACCTGGAGTTTAGAATGATCTTGGCAGAGCAGAAGGGATGGGGAGGGGCCGGACTGGTGATAAGGTGTATGAAAGACAGAATTCAGACTTTATCTTAGAGGCAGAAGAGAGCTGTTTGGGTTTTAGGTACGAGACAGAAGCAGTCCCATTGTGATGGCCAGATGCAGGCTGACCTAAAGGGGTCAGGGGTGAGCAGCCTGTCCAGCAAGAAAGGAGGGCATGTCAGTCAGCTGGATTCAGGCAGTGGTAACAGACACAGGAAGGGAAGGACGAGTGCCAGGTGAACGGCCAGGTGGGGACCGGCTGGGCGTGGCAGAGGAGGCAGAGTGAGAGTGCAGGCACAATCTGGCATCGTGTCGCCTCAGCTTTGCACCAACAAGCAGGTCCTGCGGGTGTGGAGAGGCCCTGGAAGTCAGACATGCAGCGGCTGCCTGTCCCTCTCCAGCTAAATGCACAGCTGACCCTACAAAAACACCCAACTTTCCGCTCCCTCTTAGCATAGGCTGAATCGTGTACCCTCCAAAAGATGTGTTGAAGGGTGTTTGCAGATGTAATCAAGTCAAAATGAGACTGCTACTCCAATTAAAACTAATTAATTTTAAAAAATGAGACCGCTAGGTTGGGTGGGTCCTCGTCCCATAGGCCCGAGGTCCTTATGAGAAGGGAGGTTTGGTTACAGAGGCAAACACAAGGAGAAGACACTGTGGAGATGCACAGGAAGAAGACAGCCAAGGGGATGGAGACGGGGGTGGAGTGATGTATCCATGAGCAAGGTTTTCCAGCAAACACCGGAAGCTGGAAGAGTCAGAGTCTCTCCCCCTGGAGCCTTCAGACAGAGCACGGCCCAGCCAACACCTTGATCTAGGATTTCTAGTCTCCAGAAGTGTGAGAAAATAACTTTATATTGTTTGATGCCACATTCATTAGATCATGGAGAAAGCAAGGGAGTTCCAGAAAAACACCCACTTCTGCTTCCTTGACTGTGCTAAAGCCTTTGACTGTGTGGACACGCCGAACTGTGGAAAATGCTCAAAGACATGGGAGTACCAGACCACCTTACCTGTCTCCTAAGAAACCTCTCTGCAGGTCAAGAAGCAATGGTTAGAACCAGACATGGAACAGTGCACTGGTTCCAAATTGGGGAAGGAGTATGACAGGGCTGTATATTGTCACCCTGCTTATTTAATTTACATGCAGAGTATATCATGTGAAATGCTGTATGAATCAAGCTGGAAGCGAGATTGTGTGTGTGTGTGTGTGTGTGCGCGCGCGTGCTCACTCAGTTGTGTCAGACTCTTTGTGACCCCATGGAGTGCAGCCTGCCAGGCCCCTCTGTCCATGGGATTTTCTCAGCAATAATACTGAAGTGGGTTGCCATGCCCTCCTCTGAGGGATCTTCCCGACCCAGGGATCAAACTCGCATCTCCTGCATTAGCAGGCAGCTTCTTTATCACTGAGCCACCTGCCAGGAGACAAATCAATGACCTCAGATATGCAGATGATACCACTCTTAATGGCAGAAAGTGAAGAGGAACTAAAGAGCCTCTAGATGAGGGTGAAAGAGGAGAGCAAAAAAGCTGGCATGAATCTCAACTTTCAAAAACTAAGATCATGGCATCTGGTCCCATCACTTCATGGCAAATAGAAGGGGAAAATGTGGAAACAGTGGCAGACGTTATTTTCTTGGGCTCCTAAATCACTTCAAAGAGCAAATGCAAAGATGAAATTAATAGACTCTAGCTCCTTGGAAGGAAAACTATGACAAACCTAGACAGCATATTAAAAAGCAGAGACATTACTTTGCTGACAAAAGTCTAATTAGTCAAAGCTAAGGTTTTTTCCAGTAGTCATGTATGGATGTGAGAGTTGGACTATAAAGAAGGCTGAGTGCTGAGGAACTGATGATTTTGAATTGTGGTGCTGGAGGAAACTCTTGAGAATCCCTTGGACTGACGGGAGATCAAACCAGACAATCCTAAAGGAAATTAACCCTGAATATTCATTGGAAGAACCGGTGCTGAAGCTCAAATAATTTGGCCACCTGACGTGAAGAACTGACTTATTAGAAAAGGCCCAGGTGCTGGAAAGATTGAAGGCGGGAGAAGGGTGCAGCAGAGGATGAGATGGTGGGGTGGCATCACCGGACGTGCTCAATGAACATGAATTTGAGTAAACTCTGGGAGAGAGTAGAGGACAGAGGAGCCTGGGGTGCTCCAGTCCATGGGGTCACAAAGAGTGGGACGTGACTTAGTGACTGAACAACAGCAAAAATGTGGTCTTCATTATGGCAGCCTCGGGAAACTAACTTAACTACAGATGTGGGCTTGACCGCCAATGACAGAAAATAAAGCTCTAGTTCAGAAACCTCCCAAGGATGAGGAAGTAACCTGAGGATTTCCATAATAATTAAATGCATTAAAAACAAAATAACAAAATTAGAACAAAAACTTTTCCACATACAGATGTAAATAAATACTGTGGAGTCGAAAGATAAATTTGAATCATCTCCAAGAGAGGCAAAAATGTTGATGATAATGAAGTGAACATACATTTTGTAAGGTGCTACAATGGTGCCCCTGTTTATAGGGCTTCATGAACATAAAGCTTTTTTATCTTCACAACCACAGCCAGAGAGAAGTCTCTGAGTTTGTCACCTACCTCCTGCCCATAAGGATATCTCCCCCTTGCCACCTGCACATTAGACAAAAGTTTAAAGTCATAGGGAAAAAGAAAAGGAGAGAAATTTTACAATAAAGAGAAATCAAGTACCTAAAGAGCACAATAAACGGTTTTTTAAAAAACAAATTAGAAGGTTACAATGGAAACTACCATTTTCATAACAAAACAAACAAGGCAAAATTAATGTAGTAAAAAATAAGAAAAACACCAGACTGTAGAACAATTAAAACATAAAAATTAGGAATGGAAAGACAACAAATAAAATAAGGGGAAGAGGTTAAAATCAATAAAAACTGAGGCCAAAGAAGAAGGAAGCTGACAAAATAAAATGACCTATATGGGATTCAATTGAAAAGAGAGCAATAATAAGGAACTCTAAATGGTAAATAGATGAAAAGTAGATATTTATATACTTATCACTCTAAGAAAGAATTGAAAAAAAAAACTTAAAAAGTTTTAAGGAAACACCTTTAAAAGCTAAAAGGATTAAATGAATGACCATCAAAAGCTAAAGCAGGTAGACTCTTTACTACTAGTGCTACCTGGGAAGCCCAACTTACAATAAGGGAAATTTAAAGAGGAAAGCAAGAAATATGGCGAAAACTGGAGTTTAGACAAAAAGAAAAAAAGTGGGCAGACATATTTATATGTCATATTTCTAGGTGAAAAGTCTAGATTAAAGATGAATTGAAAATTACAAAATAAAAACACTAGATGAAAATATAGAAGACTTCAATCTTGCATGAGGAAACTCTAAGCAAAATAGGCAACCCAGGAGCCAAATGGGACAGGGTTGACAGACTTGCCTGCATTTCTGTAGGCAAAACACAGAACATAAACAGCATTAAATGAAAAACAGAAGCTGAGAAACATAAACACGTGACAGAAAACAGGCAGGATGTCACATGGTTAAGAATACAGATCCTTCAGCCAGTAATCCTGGGTCTGCTCCAGCTCCACCACTCACTAGCCAGCAACTCGCTCTGCAGCCCTGGGCCTCAGACTTCTCACCTGTACAATGGGATCATCGTAGGAGGATGATCCTAGGATCATCCTTAGGACTAAGGATTAAATGAGCAAATATTCACACAGCACACAGAGCAATGACTGGGGCTATTATAAGTCCCAATAAATAGTAGCCACCACTGTCGACTTAAATCGAACTTCTTTAAGAAAGCAATAAACATCCCAGTGAAAGGATGAATATATATGAGCTGTCAGTTAACAATAAGAATAGAGATGACCACCATTAAATACACAAATATGCTGAGCCTCAAAATCAAAGACAGGCAAACAACAAGGTCCTACGGTATAGCATAAGGGACCACATGCCATCTCCTGGGATAAATCATAACGGAAAAGGATATTAGAAAAGAATGCATATGTGAGTTTAAATGAGTCACTTTGCTATATGGCAGAAACCAGCAGAACACTGTAAATCAACTATATTTCAATTGTAAAAAAATGGAGGAGTTTCCCTGGTGGCTCAGCTCAGTTCAGTTCAGTCATTCAGTGGCGTCCGACTCTTTGTGATCCCATGGACAGGCCTCCCTGTCCATCACCAACTCCCGGAGTTTACTCAAACTCACACCCATTGAGTCGGTGATGTCATCCAACCATCTCATCCTCTGTCGTCCCCTTCTCCTCTCGCCTTCAATCATTCCCAGCATCAGGGTCTTTTCCAATGAGTCATCAGGTGGCCAAAGTATTGGAGTTTCAGCTTCAGCATCCATCCTCCCAATGAATATACAGGATTGATTTCCTTTAGGATGGACTGGTTGGATCTCCTCGCAGTCCAAAGAACTCTCAAGAGTCTTCTCCAACACCACAGTTCAAAAGCATCAATTCATTGGTGCTCAGCTTTCTTTATACTCCAACTCTCACATCCAGACATGACCACTGGAAAAACCATAGTCTTGACTAAATGGACCTTTGCTGGCAAAATGGTGTCTCTGGTTTTCAACATGCTGTCTAGGTTGGTCATAACTTTTCTTCCAAGGAGTAAGCGTCTTTTAATTTCATGGCTGCAGTCACCATCTGCAGTGATTTTGGAGCCCCCCCAAAAATAAAGTCTGTCATTGTTTCCACTCTTTCCCCATCTATTTGCCTTGAAGTGATGGGACCAGATGCCATGATCTTAGTTTTCTGAATGTTGAGCTTAAAGCCAACTTTTTCACTGGTGGCTCAGTGGTGAAGAATCCACCCGCCAATGCCGGAGACACAGATCGATGCCTGATCCAAGAAGATCCCACATGCCAAGGAGCAACTAAGCCTATGGGCCCCAACTACAGAAGCCCACGCGCCCTGGAGCCCGTGCAACAAGAGAAGGCACTGCAGCGAGAGGCCCGCACACGGCAACTAGAGAGCAGCCCCCACTTGCCACAACTAGAGAAAAAGCCGTGGCAGCAACGAAGACCAGCACGGGCAAAAATAAATAAATTTTAAAAATTATTTTTTAAAAAAGAGTCCATCCTTTTTGTATTTGGAAACCGTGCACATCTGGGTGGAAGAAGCCACCACAGTAAGTTTTTTTGGGGGGTAAGTCTAAAGCAATAAAATAATATAAAGAATAAAATATATAAAGTAAAAGACTAAAACTATATAAAGTAAAAATACCCACATTGAAAATAAAAAGAGAAGGAGAAAAAGAAGTGACAGTGCAATCAGACTTCTGAGTAGAAATACCTTCCGGCAGGGAGGTGTTCTAGGTCTTTCTAGGAAGGTAAAGGGACCCCTCATCTCCGGCAAAGCTACACACAGCCCGAGACAGAGAAGCCCAGCCCGTGGCCCTGGGGCTGTTCTGCAAATCAAGGACTTCTACCTGCTTCCCTTGGAGGCTCCTCCTGCCCGAGAATTCTTTGGTCCTGAATGATGCCCCTAGAGAAAGCAGACCACCAACCAGCCCGAAGCAGGCTACACCCTCCCTCAGAAAGGAGAAAATCAGGAAGCTTGGGCAGTCCCAAATCCTGAAGTCATTTACTCTTTTCTAGAAAACGTGAGCTGGCCTACAGGATGCTGTCTTCCATCGGCCCGAGTTGTCCTCAAGAGTGCCGGGGGCATCTGTGAGAGCACTAGCGAGGTGTGAGGCTCCTGCACCCTGCCCGTCCCCGGGGCCGCCCCGCGCGCCCCGAGTCTCACCAGGAGAGCCTGGCTCCCCGCACCAGCTGAGGCCATCCGCAAGGGAACCCAGCAGCGTGTCCTCCAGGGTCAACAGGCCCCGCCGTTTCGCATACTCATGAGCCAGCTCCTTTGTTTTGCTCCAAAAGACAGCCTAGGAAAGAATAAACACAATCTATTATTGAGATCGATTTACTAAGTTGAATAAAAACACCAAATCTGCATCTTCTGTAAATGAAAGAAAACATGGGAAACATCACGCAAATCACCTCTGTAAGAGGAAGTACGGCAGGCATCAGCAATTTCTGTCTGTGAGTGGGAGGGTGTGTGTGCATGTGCGTGTGTGTGTGTGCTCTAGGTCACAATGTAAAGTGAACTGATTTTTCTGGATTGCAGGAAAGAAGCCTGAAAGCCACTAATCAGTATCTTATAATAGGACGTCCCTGCTGGTCCAATGGTTAACAAACTGCCTGCCAAGGCAGGGGACATAGGTTCGATCCCTGATGTGGGAAGATCCCACACACTAGGGGACAACAAAGCCCGCGAACCACAACTACTAACGCCTGCGCCCCCTAGACGCCCTGCTCTGCAACAAGAAAAGTCACTGCACCAAGGGTCCCGTGGACCGAAACGAGAGAAAAACAGACCCAAAATTAAATAAATAAAAATTCAAAAATAAACTAAAGTAGAAAGTGCAGCCAAAAATTAAATAAATACAAAAGTTTAAAAAATCTTGGTGTTTTTAAAGCTCCAAACACTTCTGGGGAAGGCATTAGGAAGTTCCAAATTCCTAACGTTTTTGGCAAAACAATTTTTTCTACATGCCATTTTCTGGGAAAACTGCTCATTGGTTCTTAAAGAGCTCTATAATCCCTGCTTTTCCCCCTCAAATCTCCCCTAGCCCCTTACAAACAAAGGAAAAGAACAAATACAGTGAGCTCTCTCAGGGGCCCTTGTAAAGGTCCCTTGTAAAGTCGAATTTCAGAACCATCTTCTGTTCCATGGATCTGTTCATTCTCAGTAGGAGGTGGTGGATGGTGCCCTTTGAAGCCAGGTCCTGGAGTCAGGCTGCCTGTTTAAAACCCAGCATCACTGCTCACTAGCTGTCTGACCTCGGGCGACTAAAGAATCTCTAAGCCTTACGTTCCCCACCCGTAAGATGGTGTGTGTGCACTTAGTCACCTCCGTCGTCTCTGACTATTTGTGACCCCGTGGACTGCAGCCCACCAGGCTCCTGTGTCCATGGGATTCTCCAGGCAAGAACACTGGAGTGGGTTGCATTTCCTTCTCCAGAGTATCTTCCTGACCCAGGGAAGCCTTAGGGGTTTCTTCAGCGGCTCAGATGGTAACAAGTGAGACCCGGGTTCGACCCCTGGGTTGGGAAGATCCCCTGGAGAAGGGAATGGCAATCCCCTCCAGTATTCTTGCCTGGGAAATCCCATGGACAGAGGAGCCTGGTGGGCCACAGTCCATGGGGTCACAAAGAGTTGGATATAACTTAGCAACCAACACTTGCCATGCCTTCCTCCAGGGGATCTTCCCAACCCAGAGATCAGACCTTGGTCTCTTCCCTCTCCTGCACTGGCAGGCGGATTCCTGACCTCTTAGCCCCCATCAATCACAATTGTAAGGAACCCCGAGATGCTGAGATGAAACGAGACAATACAAGGGAAGCGCTTGTCTCCTGTCCGCAGCGCCATCACTTCTTCAGCCAGCGTCTCCCGGTGGTAATCTACAAGCAGCCCCTCTGTGAAGGGCCTGGCACTTGTTGTACCAACCAGAGCTCTATAGTAACCGCAGCTCTAACATGGGCTGTAACTCGTGGTTTTAAGGCTTCAGGGCTATATGACGATGATTTGGGGCACAGTGAATTTCCACCTTAAACGCTGATTTTAGAAAAGATGCACTCCGTGGGAGTGGGGAATTCAGGATGGAGGGGACACCTGTATGCCTATGGCCGATTCATATTGATGTATGGCACAAACCATCACAATACTGTAAAGTAATTATCCTACAATTAAAATAAAGTTTTTTTTAAAAGAAAAGATGCACTCCATTATAGACCTTTTCTGGTATAATTAGTGTATCAAAATCCAGGCCTGTCTGGCTCTAAATCTTGAACGCTGTACATTTCAGATGGGCACTTTCAGGATCATCAAACTCAGTCATCATGGTCACCAAACTCACGAAGTCTCGGTATTCTTTCTGATGAAATGGAGATACTGATGCCTGACCTGTCTATTTCACAAGTTGACAGTGAAAACCTAACAGGATAAGGTTCAGAGAGTCCTTAGTAAACAAAAAGGACACTCAGAAAATTCAAAAAGGCATTGCTGTTACCAGCATCACCATCACCAGAGGTCAGGGAGAGTTTTGAATTTTATCAGGTGGATTACTTCTGTTTGGATTGGGTTGGGATTTACGTTAGATTTGCTTTGCCTGGTTTTTGGCCAACTTTCCTTTCCTCTTTCTATATCCCCAATTCCCTCTCTCACCTCCTGTCCCCTGGAGTGTCCTGAATCCCTGTGACATCCTGGTCTCCCAAAGGCCAGCAAGCTCCCTCCCTGCCAACCAAGCCTACACCCTAATATCCAATTTTCCTCTTCCCTCACCCTGATCATGACCTCTCCCCTTTGGCTTTTAACCTCAGTTTTTAAATCCATAACTTGGCCCCAGGTACCTTGTCACAAGGCACAGTGGGATACGCCAGGTCTAGCAGGGGTTTGTAGTCCTCCTTTGTCGCTTTGCAGGGATCCTTGGAAATGAATGCACTCGTGAACGCCTGCTGGATCCCTTGGCAGTTTCCGCTTCTGTGAGATAAGACAGGAAGCAAAGTAAAAGATGAATAATTCGATTTCAAATATATGTTTAGAGCACAAGGGTTCCCAGGTGGCGCTAGTGGTAATGAATCTGCCTGCAAATGGAAGAGATGCAGGAGACGCGGGTTCCATCCCTGGGTCAGGACGGTCCCCTGGAGGAGGGCATGGCAACCCACTCCAGTACTCTTGCCTGGAGAATCCCATGGACAGAGGAGCCTGGTGGGCTACAGTCCACGGGACCACAAAGGGTTGGACATGACAGCGCACACACACACACCAAAGAAGTCTCGCTGAGAAGGTCACTGTGCCAAGTGGCTCATCCACACCCTTGCGTCTCGTGTGCAGCATCCTTATGGGATGACATCAGCCTCCCTGCTCTACAAGGTCCCTGCCCTCATGAGGTTCCTCTCTGGTCAGAGAGACAGATCGGAAACAAACAAGCAAATAAGCTAACAAAACAAGTACAGGTGATGATAAGAGCGTAGGGAATCCGTGGGGAATTTTGGTGCAATGACCACTTTCGGAAGGCTGGTCAGGAAATGGCTCCCTAAGACTAGATGTTGGGAAGGGGTGTGGTCCAGGCAGAAGGCCCTGCAAGTGCAAAGGCCCTGAGGCAGATAAGAACTTGCTGATTTTGAGGAGGTGAGGGAAGAATAAGGGGAGCAGAGGGGAGAAGGCAAGTCAGAAAAGTAATCTAGAGGAGATCACGCGGGCCGTTTAGACCGAGGAAATGGTTCCGAATCTCACCTAATTACCAGGGGAAGATGCTGGGTAGGTGGAAGCAGGGAGGCGGCCTCTGCTGACTTTTTTTTTTTTTTTTTTGAAAAATCATTCTGAAAAAAATCTGTGCTGGCCTCAAAGATGGAGAGAAGTCTTTGTAATAGAAACTCGAACCCCACGGCCCCCTCCAAACAGCCCCTGGAGGAGAGCAGGCAGGCCAGCAGAGATGGAGGGGAGGCTGGCTGGAGATGCTGGCAGAGACCTAGCTGGACCTTCCTTTGTGAGCTTGTGTTGCAAGTGAACCCGAGCCCATCATTTCCTGGCGGGGGGGAGCAGGGAGTGAGTTTCCATTGGCAGAGTTCAGGTATCGTCATCAGGACAAACTCTGGCCTTTGGACTTGGCATCCCAAGTATAATATCAGATCAGACAGCTAGGCCCAGGGGAGTAAGGACTAGCCTCCGGTTTTCTATTCCCCCGAGCCTGCTTTGTCCCTGCAGGGCACTAATCAAGCAGCCATTCCAAGGGTCTTCTGCCTTCTTGACTCAGGCCGGCCAAGTCGAGTAGCTCGTTCCTCCTGCTGAGCCCAGGAATCGGCGAATATCGGTGAGATCCAGCCCCTGTGGCCTTCTCTGGTGGCTCAGCGGTAAAGAAACCACCTGCCAATGCAGGAGATGTAACAGACATGAGTTCAATCCCTGGGTCAGGAAGATCCCCTGGCGAAGCAAATGGCAACCCACTCCAGTATTCTTGCCTGGGAAATCTCATGGACAGAGGAGCCTGGAGGGCAACAGTCCATGGGGTCGCAAGAGTTGAACACGACTGAAGAGACAGCACATGAAGGATTACTCCTTCCCACTTGCTTCCTGGCAGCATCCAGGGAAAACCAGCCTCCTTGAAACTGGGCCAAAATCTCATAAAGCAAGTCCAAATCCTTTAAGTCGCTTCTAACATCCTTAGATGGAGAAGGAAAAGGCAACCCACTCCAGTACATCCCATGGATGCAGGAGCCTGGTAGGCTACAGTCCATGGGGTCACAATGAGTCAGACATGACTGAGGACTTCACTTTCTTTCTACAGTTTCTTTTGGAGAAGGAAATGGCAACCCACTCCAGTGTTCTTGCCTGGGGAATCCCATGGATGGAAGGGCCTGGTGGGCTGTGGTCTATGGGGTTGCAAAGAGTTAGACACGACTAAGCAACTCACGCACAGCATCCTTAGATGGAGTCCTCTCCAGCCTCTGTGCATCCCTATGGTGAGCGTCCAGTTGTTCTGCAAAGAGCAATAAACCCACCTTGTTCAACCACTGGTGTTCTTGTGTGGGTGTTCTCGGGGGATGGGGGTAGGGGAGCAGGCATTGACAGTAACCAGCAATCTGAACTGTTTTTTTGTTGTTCAGTCACTAATTTGTGTCCACCTCTTTGCAACCCCGTGGACTGTAGCCCGCCAGGCTCCTCTGTCCATGGGATTCTCCAGGCAAGAATACTGGAGTGGGTAGCCATTCCCTTCACCAGATCTTCCCAACCCAGGGATCGAAGCCATGTCTCCTGCATTGCAGGCAGATTATTCACCATCTGAGCCACCAGGGAAGCCTGTGAAAAATCAGCATGCTTCATCAGTATTCATGCCTGACAAGCTCCAGGAGCAGCTTCTGAAAGAAGTGATTTGTCATAAGCAACTTTCTGGGTTGAGCTGGGCTCCCAGGCTGATAGCAGTTTTCTGTTTGCTTCTTTAATTGCTGACCTAGAGTCTCGATGCATGCAGGCTGGGCACCAATGTCAGGATTCAAGGTCACTGAGATGTCCTCCCCTTCCTACCACTCAGCTCCTTCCCACAGACCCCCACCAGCTTCCCTCCCCCCATGAGTATCCCCTCCTGTTCACCGCTTGCCCCTTCTTCCTACCTCTGACCCACTCACGCAGGTGTCTCCAGTGCCCAGCGGCAGGGGAGTGCTAGAAGGAGCGAGGAGAGGGTGCGAACACCGCAGCGCACACCACGTGCTCATCGTGGACACATCCGGTTTAACTCTTACACCAGCCCTCCTTGTGTGTGTGTGTGTGTGGGGGGGGACTACCCTCTCCTCTGCTTTGGAGCTACCTAGTCCCAGAGCTTAGCAACTTGACCAAAGTCAGCCAGCAGTCAGGACAGGTGCCTGATCGCCAGACTCCCCTCTTTCTGCTAAACAATGCTGCCCCCTGCAGGAAATTTTAAATCATGTCCCTTCTTATCCCCAGTCAATCCTAAAGGAAATCAACCCCGAATATTCAAATTCATTGGAAGGACTGATGCTGAAGCCGAAGCTCCGATACTGTGACCACCTGATAAGGAGAGACGACTCATTGGAAAAGACCCTGATGCTGGGAAAGACTGAGGGCAGGAGGAGAAGGGGATGAGAGGGGATGAGATGGTTGGATGGCATCACTGACTCAATGGACATGGGTTTGAGCAAACTCCGGGAGATGGTGAAGGACAGGGAAGCCTGGCGTGCTGCAATTCATGGGGTCGCAAAGAGTCAGACACGACTGAGCGACTGAACAACAATAACAACTTGTCCCGAGAATGAAGTTGATTCCTAACAGAAATTAGGATCCGGTGGCTCAGATGGTAAAGAATCTGCCTGCGATGCAGGAATCAGTGGTTTCAAACTTGAGGCTCCTGGAAGCCTGCGTTGAAGGTGAAGACCGCCACCTACTGGAAGGAGAAAGAGATTGACGACATTCTCTGAGGTGGTGAGGATTTTTTTTCAGCAGAGTCTTAAAATCAGAAGACTCTTCAGGCTGAAGGAAAGCTCAGAAATCATTCATTCCTTCACCTGGAAAATATTTATTGAGCATCTGCTATGTTCCAGGCACATTTATGAGCAAATAATATACACCAGTGAACAAAACAGACAAGAATCTCTGTCCTGGGAGAATTCCATTCTACCAGAGCAAGGCTGATAATAGACAATAAAGATAATTAGTATTATAGAGTATCCTAGCAATTTATAAATTCTACGAGGGGGAAATGGAAAATAGAACAGGAGAAGGGAGTCAGAAGTCATGGGGAGGAAGTGTCTGTGTTTGGCATTAAACAGGGAGGACACTAGATGACATTTGAGCAAAGGATCAAAGGAAGCAAGGAAGTTAGTCGCACAGACACCCCCCGCATTCTGGGCAGAAGGAACAGCGTTCACAATAGCCCTGATGCCTGGTGTGATTCAGAAACAGCAGAGAAGCCAATGTGGCTGGAGCAGCGAGCAAGGTGGACAGTGGACGGAAATGAGGTCAGAAAGGCGATGCTGTCCACTGGGCTGAGCTCAGCGAGCTTCTACTCACAGTGAGCTGAGGAGAGGCACCTGGCATTACTTAGGTTTCACAGCATTTCTCTGACCGCTTTCTTAAATAGAATCTGAAGAGCGGAAAAGGCAGAGAGAGGTAGACCAGTAATCTGGATGAGTGCCAATGGTGATTTGCACCAGGGAGGTAACAGATGTGATAAATCTTTGATTCGTTGCAGATTTCCTAACAGATAGGATAAGTAGTGCTAGAGAAATAAGGATTCAGTAATTCCAGGGTTTGGGGCCTGAGACACTGGAAGGATGGCATTGCCATGAACTGGGATGGAGAAGTCTTTGGGTCGAGGCAGTATTGATCAGAATATGTAATATATTGTATTGGTTTGGTTCAGTTCAGTCACTCAGTCATGTCTGACTGTGACCCCACGGACTGCTGCACACCCAGCTTCCCTGTCCATCACCAACCCTGGAGTTTGCGCAAACTCACGTCCATCAAGTCGGTGATGCCACCCAACCGTCTCATCCCCCGTCATCCCCGATTATGCTATAAACTATATATTAAATACTACACGTAATGTACTATATGAAAACTACATACTACATATTATATCAAAGTAGAATATATACATGTATATTAAACTATAGGAATGCAAAAATGGGAAATATTAACAAATTTAACAAAATATATGCAACTTGTACTCTGAAAACAAAACACTGCTGTAAGAAATTTTCAGATGCCTAAGGGCTTCCCTGGTGGCTCAGATATTAAAGAATCTGCCTGCAATGCAGAAGACCTGGGTTCCCTGGGTAGGGATGATTCCCTGGAGGAGGACATGGCAACCCACTCCAGTATTCTTGCCTGGAGAATCCCATGGACAGAGGAGTCTGGCAGGCTACAGTCCTTGGGCTTGCAAAGAGTCAGACACAACTGAGTAATTAACATTTCAAGGAAATGGATACACCGTATTTATGGGTTGGAAGGCTCAATATTAAGAT